AGGAATGGAGAGGACGGTCTTACAGCTTGTAACAGAAGGCTGCCCTGAGAAACTGTACTCTACTCTTCCATCAGAAGGGCTTCAATCTGATGAAAGGCAAGTCGCTTAAACTAAATAGACAACATATGTTCTCCTCGTTTAGAGGCCCTGCATTCAGATTTGAGTATGAGCTTACATTGAAGGCATAAAATATTTAAGTTCTCCAAAACATCAGGTCCTACATATCTAAGCACTGAGCAAAAGAGTCACAGAGTACACTTGTTTCTCCTTCTGTATGTCTGTTTCCTGTCTTGAAAGACAGTACTATATCTCTCATGCACAGAGAAGCTGAAAAAATGCATCTTTGAAATTAGCGATACAGCGAGAAACATCATTAAAAACCAGTTTATTCACAATAAAATTTCCATGACTTATTACAAAGTAATGGTCACATTGAACAAAAAATAATGAACTGCATATTTAGCATGGTAGAGGTTTTGATTTTTTCTTTTAAACATATCATCAGATAGAGACTACGTCTTGCCCCACACTTTCACTTCCTCACTATTATCACCCCTATAGCCTCAATTCACCAAAGATGGGACTGAAAGAGCTAGGAACTCATCCCTCAACAACTGTCTTACTACCCGCTTTTCCACTCTGCAAGTTCCCTGATTGACACAATCATGGAGATAAATACAGTAGAAATTTTCATGTGCAACTAAGCCAATCTAACAGATCATTGCTGCTAAAGAGGGTGGTCCTGTTCACTCTCCCCTCAATCCTCCCGTTGAGGCAGCTCTAGCACTTATCTGAGCTTGCAATGAGCCAATACAGCTCATTAGAGTGAAGAAAAGCAATCCCAGCAAAAGAAAACAATCAGAATACAGAAAAATACTGTAGCCTGCTGGTTTAATGAGCCAAATCAGCTCACCAAGGCACCAAAGGAACACCAGCATTGGTGCAATAAAAGGGCCAGAAACACTGGAAGCAAGGAAAATGGCATTGTATTGTGTTTTTAAGCGGCAGGGAAACAATGCTATGAACACTTTGTGACAGCTCCAGTAATGCTTCTGCCTGTTCTGCAGAGGTAACTAGAATCAAGAGCTTTGACTTATGCGATAGGTGCCCAGAGGATGTTAGGAGGAACAAAATTCATGGTTAATGAAATCATGTCTGTCTTTCTTCCAAAAAGGATCTTTTTATTATAGTACTGAAATAAAACAGGCAGCTTCAAGAATGACCCCCACTGTCATTCTCAGATCAGAGTGAAATAACCATCATTTCTACAGGAAGCACTGGACTCGGTTCTCAAATAGTCTTACTGCTTTTACACTCCTGTTATCTCCCAGTTTTTACAAAGCCAATAAAAGATGATGTGAACAACTTCTTGGCACTCAAACGGATTTCTTTTTGCTGCTGTTCTTCCTCTTTGCAGTTGTTTCGTCCTCTTACTTCCTACTTTTTTTTCACTCCCACAGTCTCAGGCTGAAATGTTCTAAAATGCATTTACTTTGAGTTGGATTAATGAGCAAAAAAGCTAATCTAACCTCTTGCAGAGTGCAGCTGAGGGAGGGATGAGGCAGTAGTGAAGATAATGGGGCTATCTGACAGACCACCAGCAACAGACCGTCAGACAAAGTAGTCTTGTTTCCCAGTCCCCTGTGCTCACCAA